CCATTTTCTCTCTGCACGCCTGCAAGCGCGTCTGAGAGCACGAGTACAGTCATTGAGCCACGGCTCTGATAGAACTTTGGTGCGTCTAAGCGTAAAAGGAGCAACAGAATCCAGTATTAGTGTGCATGTCGAATCAAACATGGAGATAAGCTCATCAGCATTAAAAGCACAGTTCACATCTAATTTACAGATCGGAGAAGCATTAAAAACATCAGAGAACTGTGAGGCAGTCAAGGGGTTAATCGAACGCAGACGACGCTAGAGATGGCAAATCCGGATCCTTTTACGGACTCAGGGTCTTCTGAGTCAGTCATTGAAGAGATCCGGATCATATGAGTCATTTGAGTCATATGAGTCAGCATCACCAAGACCGTAGAAATCCTATCGGTGAAATCGAAAAGTTGATGCATTTCACGAGCATATTATTATTCCATATATTTTGAATATATATATATATTTGTATATATATATATATATATATATATATAATATCTGCATGTATATTTTCTATTTCGACATGTATATTTTATATTTTATATTTTATTTTATTTTTCTTTCTATTCTTGTATATTTTGTAGTTTTGTTTTATTGTAAAATGCCTTTTATGCTGCTGTAACAACAATTTCCCAATTTGGGATCAATAAAGTACTATCTATCTATCTATCTATTAAACTGACATTATATTAACCTCCGCTACACAGTGTATTTTGCTTTAATAAAAAATGTTGATCACAAAAAAAAGGGTTATTTTGCGATTTGGCAAATCTGAGTCTGCTGTTGACTCGTGCATGAGGACGAGTCTGCTGGATCTCTGGATCTGCTGCTATATACGGCTCCGAGTCCGCACGAGTCTGGATTTGCGAATCTGAGTCTGCTGTGGACTCGTGCATGACGACGAGTCTGCTGGATCTCTGGATCTGCTGCTATATGGTTACGGCTCCGAGTCCGCACGAGTCTGATCTGCTGTGTGTTGCAGCGAGTCAGGATTTGCGAATCTGCGAATCTGCGAGTCTGCTGTTGACTCGTGCGGGAGCCGGGTGCTGGAGGAGGGGCTATGCTCGTGCACATGACGAGTATGGATCTCTGGATCTGCTATGCTATTACGGTTAGGAGCCGTCGGCTCCTCTGAGTCCCCACGAGTCTGCAGGAAGTTTCACTGATCCGCGTCCCCTCCCCTGAGCCAAACGATAACTTCTGGCAGGCAGCTATCCTGTATACTTGCTAAAGGGTAGGTAGATGGACTGGGGTACGTTGTAATGTGATTTTACATGTTATAAAGAGAGTAGCGAGTGACGCAATTTATAGTTTTAATTTGTACGTCACACCAAGTGTGGGACTCAAGGACTCGGGTTAATGGAGAGGGGAGACTCGTCACGACCAGCTCATTTCTAGGATCCGGGTTAATGATCCGGATGAATCAGGACTCGCCCATCTCTAGACGACGCGCCGGGGCACGTGATTCGACTCCTGCGGAAGGGATGTAGGTTGTAAACAGAACCGGTAAATGGTCTGAGATACGCGTTGCTGCACATATTTCATCCACAGATACAGACAGTCCAAACGATAATACTAAGTCCAAAGTGTGTCCTTTTTCGTGTGTTGGGCCAGCCACGGACTGAACGAGACCAAAGGAATCAAGGAGATTTAAAAAGTCCCTAACCAGAGGTTTGGACTCGCAACACACATGGACATTGAAGTCTCCGGAGATCAAAACACGATCATATTTCACCATGATCCCGGACAGAAAGTCAGAAAAGTCATTTATGAAATCCTTATTACACTTTGGCGGACGATACACGACTGCGCAGAGTATAGGCGAGGCCGGGTTCAGTTCAAAAAGCTGCAACTCAAAGCTGGCATAGCTAGATACAGGGTGAAGCAATCGGCATTGGAGGTTAGCTCTAAACACTGATGCTATGCCCCCACCATGGCCAGTGGCACGGGGGGAGCTGAAGAATGTACAGTCAGGAGAAAGAAGTTCAGAGAACGGTGTATACTCGCCAGCGTGGGCCCAGGTCTCCGTCAGGAACATAAAATCCAGTTCACGAGAGGTGAAGAAGTCGTTTAGCAGGAACGTTTTGTTTGCTATCGACCTAGCATTTAGCAAAGCCATGCAAAGTTTTCGCTCCGGGCTTGCCGAAGGTGTAGTGCGTCTCAGCTGACGAAGATGTGCGTGTTGAACGCCGCGCGGGCCGGGAGCAGTCAGTCGGGCAGGAGGAGCTGCCAGCGGGCCCCTCAGAGTCCGGAGCTCCGGAAAAACGGGGTGAATCCACCGATCCCTCACTTGGCGTGCAGCGGGAGGGCCATGACATCCGAGGCGTGGATAATTCACAGAAGAAGCCGTCAGGTATGGCTTAAGATGGACCAGTGCACCACCACGCTTTCCCCGTCGTCGAAAGCGCTTTCGGCGAGGCAGGATGCAGTGTGACCGGCGTAGGTAAGTGGGGATATCCGACAGTAGAGGGGGGGGGGGACGATTTATGGTTGCCAGATGTAGGTTTGGGCAGCAATATCAACTCCAGTGAGGGTCTGAGGTGGAGGAGAGCTTGGCGATCATAAACGAGCAGAGCAGAGACATTCTGACAAACATAAAACAAAAACAGAACAGCTAAAGGTAGAGAGCTAAGCGAGCGGCGAGCCGACACAGGCGCCATCTTGAATCTCATAGTCTTATAACTCAACAGTTTTAGGACAAACTGTGACTTTTTTTACATGGAAATGATTGTTTAAGATTGACAAACATCATATGTGTAATTCGTGGCACAATTCAAACGGGATCAGAAGATAAGTTTTTTCTCCCAATTGACTTGGGAGGGACTTCGCCTCTCTATAGAGTGGCGAAGTCCCTCCCCTTCCGGTGGACCTCCATGGGACCTTATTTCGGAAAAATTATGTATTGAAGTCAATGGAGAGAGAAAGATTATCTTTCGATCCCGTTTGAATTGTGCCCCGAATTACACATATGATGTTTGTCAATTTAAAAGATAATTTTGCAAGTAAAAAAAAAAAAAATGTGTCGTAAAACTGTGAAGTAACATATTTGTTTGTGTGAAACGCTCAATGAACTACATCTCTGGTCAACAACACACGTCACCAAGATGGCCGTCACTACTGTCTTGTCAACACAACGATTGACTACCCTCACTATCACCACAATGAAACACGTCCTGAAGAATGTCATGCAAAGCTGCCTGCCTGCCTTCCTTTGATTCTCTCTGAACTGCCTGGTCGTTTTAATGTTTAATGTCAACCATTTGTGCAGATAGCATGAAGTAGAGAAGATCGCTAGCGTTAGCGTTAGCATTTCTCCCCCGGGCTTAAATGGTGTATTATAGAATGATCACACCGGTGACAGTACTCTTCAAAGGGTTCACGAAATATGACTACTACTCTTACTGTTTAACATTTTGGGTTACTTAATGTTACTTCATGTTAAGGCTAATACAAATGACAAGGCTGTAATGCTAACTAACGTGCTAGCTACTAGCTAGCTTGATCCACACACTCCTCTTTCATCAGACGGGAAGCGAAAGAACGAGCAAGACCCATTGCTGGTATAATAACAACCTGGTACTAAGCACACAGGCATCTTGTTAAAGTTATCTTATCTTAGCCAGCGCCATATAGATAGATTCTATCTATATGGCGCTGATCGTATATATACGGTATTATACGTATATCGTAGTGTCTCAATTGTGACATCACTTACGCGACTCTGGGATTTGTAGTCTTTCTAATTGCGTATTTTTCATGGTCTTATATTTCAACAGTTTTACGACAAACTGTGACTTTTTTGACATGGAAATGATTTTTTAAGATTGACAAACATCATATGTGTAATTCATGGCACAATTCAAACGGGATCGAAAGATAAGTGGCGAAGTCCCTCCCACTTACTTCCGGGGTATGGGACCTTATTTCGGAAAAATTATGCATTGAAGTCAATGGGGAGAGAAAACTTATCTTTCGATCCCGTTTGAATTGTGCCATGAATTACACATATGATGTTTGTCAATCTTAAAAAATCATTTCCATGTCAAAAAAGTCACAGTTTGTCGTAAAACTGTTGAAATATAAGACTATGAAAAATACGTAACTAGAAAGACTACAAATCCCAGAGTCGCGTAAGTGATGTCACAATTGAGACACTACGATATACGTATAATACCGTATATATACGATCAGCGCCATATAGATAGAATCTATCTATATGGCGCTGGCTAAGATAAGATAACTTTAACAAGATGCCTGTGTGCTTAGTACCAGGTTGTTATTATACCAGCAATGGGTCTTGCTCGTTCTTTTGCTTCCCGTCTGATGAAACGACCAGGAGTGGCTTGATCAAGTTAGCTACCTAGCTAGTAGCTAGCACGTTAGTTAGCATTACAGCCTTGTCATTTTTATTAGCCTTAACATGAAGTAACATTAAGTAACCCAAAATGTTAAACAGTAAGAGTAGTAGTCATATTTCGTGAACCCTTTGAATAGTACTGTCACCGGTGTGATCATTCTATAATACACCATTTAATTCCGGGGGAGAAATGCTAACGCTAACGTTAGCATCGGCGATCTTTTCTACTTCATGCTATCTGCACAAATGGTTGACATTAAACATTAAAACGACCAGGCAGTTCAGAGAGAATCAAAGGAAGGCAGGCTTTGCATGACATTCTTCAGGACGTGTTTCATTGTGGTGATAGTCAATCGTTTGTTGACATGACAGTAGTGACGGCCATCTTGGTGACGTGTGTGGTTGACCAGAGATGTAGTTCATTTAGCGTTTCACACAAACAAATGTGTTACTTCACAGTTTTACGACACATTTTTTTTTTTTTGACTTGCAAAATTATCTTTTAAATTGACAAACATCATATGTGTAATTCGTGGCACAATTCAAACGGGATCGAAAGATAATCTTTCTCTCTCCATTGACTTCAATGCATAACTTTTCCGAAATAAGGTCCCATGGGGCTCAACCGGAAGGGGAGGGACTTCGCCACTCTATTAGTCCGGAAAATCATTGAGCTTCCGCTTCCTGTCAAGACATCCGCTCAGCTACATCACATCATGTAAGCATTGACAGTTTCTAAATAATATGCTAAAACGTGTCAGTGCAAAGATGGTTGGTTCAATAGAGCAAGTCGGTGTTCCGCAGCATATTAACTGTTCCAGTGCACTAGTTAAAGAAGGTCCTTTTATCTTAAACACGCAGGCAGAGTGCATGTGCTGGGGTTCAGCTCTGCTAACGCTAGCCACCGTGACAGAGCTATCCAGATAGCATGTAGCTTATTAGCTGGTATCATTATGGTGCATTCATGGGGAATTTAATATGGTGCATTTAGGACTAAGTCTCAGGGTAGTAGCTAACGCTGGGCGGGACGCTACTGCACGTTAGGCTCTGGAATTAAAACGTGAAAGAATTCAGAGACATGCATTCTAAAGCGCTTAAACGCCTCAATAATACACTAATGACACCGTTACCACAATATACGGAACTAATGGCGGAGATTGGTCGTTTAGTAGAATTCATGATTCAATCTGGATGATAACACATGCCCCCCGCTGCTTTATAAACATTATTTACAATGTTGTCCGTTTCATAGAATATCATGGATTAGATTTAATTTATTTATATTTTTCTTAATTAATGCTGCTACCTTTGGAAACCACCACCGTGCCGTCAGAACGCAATTTAACGGAATCAGAGTCGGTGTTATTACCGAGTAGCTTTACACAAACGAGGAATTTGTGTTGGTGTAAATGCTGCATTCAAAGACCCTTACACGAAAAGAGCAACACACATACTATTATAAAAGCCATTTAAAGACTATTGTAACAAATTAAAAATAATAGAAAAAGTCAATATTACACAAAATATAAATATGTAAGAAACTGAGGACAGTCAAATTAAATACAATATGACAAATACTATATTCAAGTGTAGAGCTGTGCAGATTTAAAAAGAGGTAGTGTGGAGCAGAGATGTGCTAAATGTTGTGCAGGATTTACACTTTTAAAAATAACAGCATGTTGTTCGCATGATGTACATTCATGCATAAGGTTTTTCTGATCCAGATCCAGCTCCTGTAATATGTCAGTGGCTAAAACGCTGTACAGACACAAATATTATTGTACCTGCTGTTCTAATACTCCAAATTAGATTTTTTTGTATCCTAATACCATTCTCATGCCAACATGCAGAGTTACTGGCCGCTGTAATCTTTCCTCCTGTCCACACTGGCTGGAGAGAGAGCCCTTCATAGTGCCCATGGATACATGCTCACTGTGGAGACTTGCATTTCATAATGTGTTCTGTTTAAGTTACGGCCCGTCCACACAGCGGCTTTGGAAAAAGCTTGCCGGCGGGCGTGTCTGAAGCTCGACCAACAACCAATCACATGAATCTCCCGCCCCTGACACACAAGCAGCGGTTTGATTGGCTAGATCTTGTACTGGCATATGATTTGATTGGCTGACGCTTCCACCGAAAGCTTCAGAAGCTTCAAAAGTTGAACATTGCTCAACTTTTGCAGCCTGAAACGCCAGGAAAGCTCCGCTCTGCTTCCCACAATGCAGTTCAAGGTTCAAGGTTCTTTATTGTCAATCTGACATAGCTACAGAGTAATTATGCAGTTGAAAATCTTATGTCACAGGCTTCTCCAACAATGCAACATAATAACATAACATAATAACAATAAGAGCATGAGCAATACAAAAATAATAATAGTTATAAAAATGAAATAAAGTTATGATGTGGAATAGTGCAGTATGAGTCTATATACAAGTTAATTGGAATGATATATATATATTAGGTATTAGATACATACTACTGAGTAGCAGATGAATGTTTGAAGTTGTTTCAACAGTTCAATTTTTTAACAGTCTCACTGCCCGCGGTAAGAAACTGTCTCCAAAACTCTTGTCCTTGCCAGGATGCTGCGGTAACGTCTGCCAGACGGCAGCAGACAGAACAGTTTGTGGCTGGGGTGATGGGGGTCTTTGATAATCCGTAGTGATTTCTTCCTGAGCCGCTGGGAGTAAAGGTCCTCCATGGATGGCAGCTCCGTCCTGGTGATGTGCTGTGCAGTTTTCACCACCCTCTGTAAAGCCTTACGATCGAGGTCGGTGCAGCTGCCGTACCAGGCCGTCATGCTGCCAGTGAGGATACTCTCTATCGTGCACCTGTAGAAGTTGCAGAGTATCCTGGAATCCATTTTGAACCTCCTCAACCTGCGGAGGAAGAAGAGCCGCTGTCGAGCTTTCTTAGTGATGGTGGTGGTGTGAATAGACCATGTCAGGTCCTCAGTGATGTGGACCCCAAGGAACCTGAAGCTTTTGACTCTCTCCACCGTAGTCCCATTGATGGCGATGGGGGCGTGTCCCTCTCCCTGCTGCTTCCTGTAGTCCACAGTTCGGTGAAAAGTGACCCCATTCAAAGTGAATGGGAAGAAGCTTCCAACGCCGCTGTGTGGACAGGCCGTCACACATATTGTGATATTGTATTATGAGATTATGTGACAACTAAATGGACTGATGAATATTTTAAGATAAAAAAGACCTGTGCATGCATACGTTGCTGTATAAAGAGGTCTGATAGTTGATTCTTCTGTCAGCAGAATGCCAAAATCAAAGGAAAGACTGTCCTCCACATCTGGAAGTGACTCTGACAGTGAAGCAGAAACCAAGGTTTGTATTCAATATAAACTGCTGATGTGTTTGCTTTACTCACTTACATTTGAAGCGCATAAAGCAGATCTTATTAGAAAACGACGAGCTTGAGAAAATATTGAGTTTTTTTAAATAAAAATCAGATTACAAGCCTGGAGACATACATACTGAAGGAGTGGAGTCAACTATGAGTAAAGGTGGCTAGAGCTAAGAATTAATTTAATTAAATAGTGAAATAAATACAATTGTTGACCATAGTTGACAGTGCTTCCTTTTACTGCTTTTGTCATTCATTCCTTTCTCCAAATCTGCTGATAAAACGTCTGCCTTTTCTATCCATATACAGTTAGCCCTGGATCACAAATGATGGGCAAGAATTTGAAAAGTACGTCTTTTTTTTTTTAGGCAAAAAGAAAGAAGTCCAGTGCACCAGAGAAACCAGCCAAGAAAGTAAAGAGTGGAGAGAGCTCCAAGCCAGGCGGCTCCTCCAAGGGCGGCAGTGATGCTGGAGACAACATGTTCCAGGTGGGGGTCCCGGTGCTCTGCTTACATGGAACATTCAAACTCCAATTTTTTTTAATTGCATCTCTGTACTTTTTTATTTCCACAGATCTAGTTTAAATGTAGGTGCTATACTGTGTACACTTTACATTTCTGAAGTTTCAATACTTTGAATAACATTTTATTTAGTTTAGATCTACTTTTATTGATCTGAAGTAGTTAAAGCTGTTACGGCATTACACTGACTTAAAATGTAACTCATTCAAATATAAAATAGACAGACAGTAATGAACAGTAGAAACATAAATATCTATAGAGTTTCAACAGATAGAACTATATGAAATATAAAGAACACGTTTGATTTACTGTAATTGACCAACCTACTACTAAACAAAATATACAAACATAAAATAATATATACTTAAATTATACAAGTGCGCAAGTTACATTTAAACCTAGTACAGAGGTAGAGTAAAATATGTACAAATTGTTCAGGGTTATTAAAGGGGAAAAGTGAGTGATGTCCTGCAAAAAATATACTATAATTGTGACCCGCTCTATCGAAATCAGTCGGAAGTCGCACCGGCTCATTTCAAAATAAACGTGGATTTGCGTAAAAAAATTGTTGTTCGGGTGTTTTGTTTGTTTTCAAACAAACAAAGTCTTGGCTTTCAGAATATGAAACTTTTATTTCCAAAATCACACGATAAATACATGTTTGAAGCTTGTAAAGGGAAGAAGACAGCTCTCACTCACCTTGCTGAAATTATGAATGTAAGGCGTATAGTAATCATAGATAACACGGCAGGGTCCGTTACAGTTTGTTTTCATCTGATTTCAATCAAACAAAGTCTTGGCTTTCAGAATATTACACTTGTTTTGGCAAATTCAGATGATAAATACAACTTTGAAGCTTGTAACGGCATAATTACAAGCGGAGAACGGAGTAACTTAACGTCACAGCAGGCATAACAACAGCCGGTGTTTCTCGTGAGTGTTTTCCCCGGGAAACAAACACAATACACAGAAACGCAAAAATACACAAACACACACACACACATACACTCACACACACACACACACACTCTCGCGAGCTTCCCCCAGACCAGTAATCCAAACGAAAATATCTTCCCTCCGGACTATTTTGATCATTTGCTAATAACCAATCAGATCGATGGATTCCAGAGAGGAGGAAACTTTAAAGTCCTTTTTCTCAAAATGATGACTCGGTGACAGTCATTATATAATGTGACATATTTAGCTTAATATTTGGAGTACAACAACAATCCTGACATCATTAGAAAGCTAGGAATCTCCTCTTTCTAACAGTGAATACAACTCAAAATGTGTCTTCGGGTCAATGCGACTGATTTCGATAGAGCAGGTCACAAATGTTGTTGTAATTCTCTATTACAAAAAAATATCATAGGCACAGTGTCTTGTTGCCTTCAATATTCTACCTTCAGTTTGTGTGTGGACAGAGGTATTGTTCAGTACTTGTTGTATTCTAAAAGCTATAAATTAAACTCCTGAAGAAAAACCGTTTTGTGACGGTCAGTTTGCTTCTTACAGATTGGAAAGATGCGATACGTCAGCGTCAGGGACTTCAAAGGGAAAGTCTTGATTGACGTCAGAGAGTACTGGACAAACTCGGATGGGGAGATGAAGCCGGGGAAGAAAGGTAAGGTTTCATTCATCCACCCACAGTCCATATTTATCTGAAACTACACACGAGGGGTGTACCACAGATTAAGTTTGACAGAGCCAGGCTTTTGTTTGCGTTAGCTTGCAACAAAGCGAAAAACTACTCTCAGAGATAACAGCTCCCACAAGAGTTTTGTGCATCGGGCTCTGTGCTCGTTTCCACAGAAGGGGGCGCTGGGGGTCATTTGGCTCTCCTGCTGCACAAAATGGACTGCATGCTGCCTACATCCTTCAATAGGTCATTACTATTACATCAAAAAGTAACACTGTTGCTGCATATGAAGCAACAGAGGAATGAGGACATACAATTACTAGTTGTATAAATTAGTATGTTTATATTTTTATTTGACCTGTTTATTTCTTCTGCAACACCTGCTCGTAATACAGCTCGTACACTTTACATTTCATGCAGCAGATTCAAATGTTATACTAAGGAACTCAATTTGATTCAGGACCGAGCATCAACATGATTAGTGGTATAGTTATACTTTGAAGGTTTTACTAATGGAATGAATTGAAGGCTCATCTTCAAGCCAGCATGGGCAAATGACCAGAGAACTCTACAAACTTCCAGTAGTTCTTTAAGAGCAACAACTACCTTTTGCAAGGGGAATAAAACCATATTGTTGCTTAAAACATGCATCAATGGGCAAGTCGGATTTGGAAACCGTAGTCAGGACCCTCATCACCACCGCTAAGCTAAAGGCGGCTAATGTTTGACGTTTGGATTCAGATTCAGAAAACGTTATTATCCATTAAACTTACATATAATGGAAATGTGTATTTGGCAATAGGATAAAATAACACACAGTACAATTTACAATTCACACACACAAAAAGAGCAAAATTGCTTCATAAATTCAAATTAATTACATTTTTAATTAATAAAAAGTGGCAGTCATAATAAAAATGGTTTGTTATTTCACTGGATTGGGTGCATTAAAACATCTGTTGTATTAAAAACAAATAATTAACTATACATTCAAATTAGGTGATGGTCTTAGTAGTCTGATTTAGACGCTAGTCACTGTGGGGTATTCACTGACGCATTTCATCTCGTAGGACCAAACATTCAAATCTCTCCAGCTTGTGTTAGCCACATACCTTATTTCAGGCTTCTATACAAATATACATTACAGCAATTGTTGACTCGGAGACAATAGAACAGGAAGTGGTATTTGGAGCATTCGACCAATCACAAACATGGACAAGCGTACTGACAGTGCAGCGTCATACTTCTGAATGAAAAGTAAACTATAATATTAGACAAATATGAAGAAGTTAAACTTTAAACATCCATGACTTAAACACTTTATCCAGGATCAAAGCCACATAGCTGCACCTGCAAGGTGAATACAGCTGGTAAAAGAAAAAGTGTTTGAATGCGTACATTAACAGGTTTATGATATCACTGCCCCGTCTAAGACACGAGTGGATCTGACTTTAATTACATTTGACTCGAGTGTTTCGTCAACTTAATGTGTTGCTTAAAATAATACTTCTGCATACAGTATGTGACACTGTGAGTGTTGCACGGCCAGATACGGCTCAGCTGACTCAGATAAGGAAATATATGATACATTATGATGTGATATGCCGCGGACTGTACTGTTACTTCGATCCGGTTACTTATGTTGTGGCAGATATTTAATTAAGCTTTCTTAATGTTATATTAGTCAGATTGCTCTGAAGATGGGAGGGGATATTCTATTCATTTTCATGTTCACACAGTCTGTGATTTTGGCCGGCCGTCTTTCCTGCAACGGCAGTTTAAACTGTATTTCCTTAATCCTGTAATACGACTTGATCGCTTTAAACTCCGCACACTGAGCTCTGATTGGTCAGCAGGCAGTGCTTTCACTGAGTTGATCTCTTATCCTGGAACCTAACCTGCTCCGGAGCAGGTTAGCCGCTCAGCATAAGTTACCATGGAGATCTAGCCCGTTAAAAAGAGAACCAGCGTCGTAGGACCGGAAACCCCGAGTTTTCCCTGAAGTTAGCTCGCTAAGCGAAAATCTGGCTTCGGCCTCTGGACTCAGTTTCACCCTCTGTTTCTCCTAGGTATCTCCCTGAATCCTGAACAGTGGACCCAACTGAAGGACCAGATTTCAGAAATTGATGAAGCCATAAAGAGATCATAAGCATTCCTTTTGATGTTCTGTGTTAACTCATTATGTTAGTTTGCTAAGCGTTTTTGTAAATAGCCTGTTGATGTTTTCTAATGGGCTATAGTTTTGTAGATCTAGTGGTGTCTGGTTTCTGTGTGTACTTGTTTTCAAAGCAGCTGAAGTAGAGGGTGGGTGGCTGGGTAGGTGTGTGATCAATACTGGTGGGTAGAGTCTATGAGTACAGTGATGTTTTTGTATTGAATAAAGAAAGGAGGCACTAGCTACATGTGTAAGTTGCTGTTCAGTTTGAATATCATGAACATTTAATCATAAGATTTTGTTTTCACTGACCTTTGTACTATCTACCACACTATCAGTGCTTATATTTCCAAAAGCCGAGTCCAGTCATGGTGTCCCTGCAGCGGATCATGGTGGACCATGGGTTATGTTTTAAAATAAATGATTGTGATTATACAACAAGGTGACAAATGTATTTTTTTCAAGAATTGTATAACGCTTCTATATGAATACGTAATGACACGCCTTATTCCCATAGTGAAATTCACGTGTTATAGCAGCAACAGTAATACGAGTGAAACAGGAAAAGAAAGGAAAGAGTCAAAATGAAGACGTAAGTAAAAGTACAAAGATAGATAGATATTCATCCCAAATTGTTAAATAATTTTTTCACAGCAGCGGTGTTGTCGAGCATTACAAGAGTTCAACATATTTAAAAGATACAATAAGATAAAATTAACATGAGCAGAAAGTATTTTCAAATTCACAATAGAAAGGACATACTGTATATCACTATAGAGTATCTCAATAATAATAATATAACGAAAATATTGAATACATTGAATACTCTACAATCTCACTAAGCTACAGAAATGTAGCTTAAGCTTTATGCTTACTGCTTTTTATCTTCCATTCCTCCCCTGATCCTCGGTTCAAGTCCCAGAACTAACCAAGTACTGTGAGTGGACCGGTACTTTAGGAGGGGGAGGTTTGCCTCCTGAGCACTGCTGAAGTGCCCTTAAGCAAGGCACCAGAGAAATCTTCCTCTAATATATGATTCTAATATAAAAGGTATTTTATATAATAGCTGCCCACTGTTCAAACTTCTAGGACGGGAACATGCAGAGACTACATGTCACTGTGTGTGTGGTGCTGTTTACATGCGTGAGTAATCAAGAGGAATTCACACACTATAAACAATGTTGTACTAAAACATAAGCATAATAAATAATCCTGTGTCCTCATCCCCCGTTACAACCCCATCTTATGTGCAATTCATTTCTTAAGGTTAGGCTATACTAACAATTTGAGTCATGTTTAATGATCTTGAACGTCACTAAAACATAGCTATTAAGAAAGCTATTTCATAAATGGCTAGATCTTGATAAATAACAATTATTTGTTTTGTTTTGTGTTAAAATATTGAGTAGTTAAATTATTTAAAATGCACAGTCCTGAATGTGGGTTTGTGGTGAATGTGGGGATCTACAGGACACACATGTTCAGAGTAAAGGCTTTCACATTATAATTATAATTTTATTGAAATGTACATTTTACACCAAAACGGAACACAAAAGCAGGATCAACCATCATACATTGAATTCCTTGATTAACAAGAGAAAGATTCATCATTTAAATACATATTCAACAACAAATGGGCCGGTTCTAAAGGTTATTCAGTTAAACCCAATGAGAGGGGATACAGCTGTGCACATGTCATCATTAACAGACGTCGTTTAAGAGTGACGTTTGAGTGAACGAGGACATCCCAATTAATACCTGAGGACTCCTCTGTCCTTGCGTCACCTCCTCGTGTCTCTCGCTCGCATCTTACGGAGGCGGAGCTAAGACGCAAGGAAGGGACGCGAGTGAGGAAAAGGAGGAGTCGAGGAGGGGTATTGAGATGAGGCTAATGTCTCCACCCACTCTATGGGTGTTTCTCAACAACTCCTTTGTTGACATCACTATGTCACACCCAAACTTCTATTGGCTAGCGCTCCAACACATTGTGGTATAGGCTGAGGGGCGGGACATCTCTTAGTGATTGCCCAATCACAACAGAGCCGGCCAGCTAACCAATCAGAGCAGACTGGGCTCTGGTTTCAGACAGAGGGTGAAAAGAGGTGCTGCAGCACAGGCAGTATGAGAACAATAAAGAGCTTTTTGAACATTAAAGCATGGAGACATGTCCCAGTAGAGACACTACATACTGATATACACCTGAACATCAGCAGGAGAGGACTCTTTAAAGTAGAGACACTACATACTGATATACACCTGAACATCAGCAGGAGAGGACTCTTTAAAGTAGAGACACTACATACTGATATACACCTGAACATCAGCAGGAGAGGACTCTTTAAAGTAGAGACACTACATACTGATAGACACCTAAACATCAGCAGGAGAGGACTCTTTAAAGTAGAGACACTACATACTGATATACACCTGAACATCAGCAGGAGAGGACTCTTTAAAGTAGAGACACTACATACTGATATACACCTGAACATAAGCAGGAGAGGACTCTTTAAAGTAGAGACACTACATACTGATATACACCTGAACATCAGCAGGAGAGGACTCTTTAAAGTAGAGACACTACATACTGATATACACCTGAACATCAGCAGGAGATGACTCTTTAAAGTAGAGACACTACATACTGATATACACCTGAACATCAGCAGGAGAGGACTCTTTAAAGTAGAGACACTACATACTGATATACACCTGAACATCAGCAGGAGAGGACTCTTTAAAGTAGAGACACTACATACTGATATACACCTGAACATCAGCAGGAGAGGACTCTTTAAAGTAGAGACACTACATACTGATATACACCTGAACATCAGCAGGAGAGGACTCTTTAAAGTAGAGACACTACATACTGATATACACCTGAACATCAGCAGGAGAGGACTCTTTAAAGTAGAGACACTACATACTGATATACACCTGAACATAAGCAGGAGTGGACTCTTTAAAGTAGAGACACTACATACTGATATACACCTGAACATCAGCAGGAGAGGACTCTTTAAAGTAGAGACACTACATACTGATATACACCTGAACATCAGCAGGAGAGGACTCTTTAAAGTAGAGACACTACATACTGATATACACCTGAACATCAGCAGGAGATGACTCTTTAAAGTAGAAACACTACATACTGATATACACCTGAACATCAGCAGGAGAGGACTCTTTAAAGTAGAGACACTACATACTGATATACACCTGAACATCAGCAGGAGAGGACTCTTTAAAGTAGAGACACTACATACTGATATACACCTGAACATAAGCAGGAGAGGACTCTTTAAAGTAGAGACACTACATACTGATATACACCTGAACATCAGCAGGAGAGGACTCTTTAAAGTAGAGACACTACATACTGATATACACCTGAACATCAGCAGGAGATGACTCTTTAAAGTAGAGACACTACATACTGATATACACCTGAACATCAGCAGGAGAGGACTCTTTAAAGTAGAGACACTACATACTGATATACACCTGAACATCAGCAGGAGAGGACTCTTTAAAGTAGAGACACTACATACTGATATACACCTGAACATCAGCAGGAGAGGACTCTTTAAAGTAGAGACACTACATACTGATATACACCTGAACATCAGCAGGAGAGGACTCTTTAAAGTAGAGACACTACATACTGATATACACCTGAACATCAGCAGGAGAGGACTCTTTAAAGTAGAGACACTACATACTGATATACACCTGAACATAAGCAGGAGTGGACTCTTTAAAGTAGAGACACTACATACTGATATACACCTGAACATCAGCAGGAGAGGACTCTTTAAAGTAGAGACACTACATACTGATATACACCTGAACATCAGCAGGAGAGGACTCTTTAAAGTAGAGACACTACATACTGATATACACCTGAACATCAGCAGGAGATGACTCTTTAAAGTAGAAACACTACATACTGATATACACCTGAACATCAGCAGGAGAGGACTCTTTAAAGTAGAGACACTACATACTGATATACACCTGAACATCAGCAGGAGAGGACTCTTTAAAGTAGAGACACTACATACTGATATACACCTGAACATCAGCAGGAGAGGACTCTTTAAAGTAGAGACACTACATACTGATAGACACCTAAACATCAGCAGGAGAGGACTCTTTAAAGTAGAGACACTACATACTGATATACACCTGAACATCAGCAGGAGAGGACTCTTTAAAGTAGAGACACTACATACTGATATACACCTGAACATAAGCAGGAGAGGACTCTTTAAAGTAGAGACACTACATACTGATATACACCTGAACATCAGCAGGAGAGGACTCTTTAAAGTAGAGACACTACATACTGATATACACCTGAACATCAGCAGGAGATGACTCTTTAAAGTAGAGACACTACATACTGATATACACCTGAACATCAGCAGGAGAGGACTCTTTAAAGTAGAGACACTACATACTGATATACACCTGACCATCAGCAAGAGAGGACTCTTTAAAGTAGAGACACTACATACTGATATACACCTGAACATCAGCAGGAGAGAACTCTTTAAAGTAGAGACACTACATACTGATATACACCTGACCATCAGCAGGAGAGGACTCTTTAAAGTAGAGACACTACATACTGATATACACCTGACCATCAGCAGGAGAGGACTCTTTAAAGTAGAGACACTACAGTACATACTGATATACACCTGAACATCAGCAGGAGAGGACTCTTTAAAGTAGAGACACTACATACTGATATACACCTGACCATCAGCAGGAGAGGACTCTTTAAAGTAGAGACACTACATACTGATATACACCTGACTATCAGCAGGAGAGGACTCTTTAAAGTAGAGACACTGCATACTGATATACACCTGAAAATCAGCAGGAGAGAACTCTTTAAAGTAGAGACACTACATACTGATATACACCTGACCATCAGCAGGAGAGGACTCTTTAAAGTAGAGACACTACATACTGATATACACCTGAACATCAGCAGGAGAGGACTCTTTAAAGTAGAGACACTACAGTACATACTGATATACACCTGAACACCAGCAGGAGAGGACTCTTTAAAGTAGAGACACTACATACTGATATACACCTGACCATCAGCAGGAGAGGACTCTTTAAAGTAGAGACACTACAGTACATACTGATATACACCTGAACACCAGCAGGAGAGGACTCTTTAAAGTAGAGACACTACATACTGATATACACCTGACCATCAGCAGGAGAGGACTCTTTAAAGTAGAGACACTACATACTGATATACACCTGAACATCAGCAGGAGAGGACTCTTTAAAGTAGAGACACTACATACTGATATACACCTGAACATCAGCAGGAGAGAACTCTTTAAAGTAGAGACACTACATACTGATATACACCTGACCATCAGCAGGAGAGGACTCTTTAAAGTAGAGA